CATCTCAAACAGCTCAATTAGAAATACATTTAAATAAAACAATATCTATCTATCTATCATCTATATATTTCAAAATATGCTTTTGCTGGCCAGCTTTGTCCTGTTTGTTAGATTAGGATGTTAATTACAATGTATGAGCGTAATTCTGATGCAGTCCCTAAGCTATCAGGTGTCTTATGTCACTATTTTCTAATGAGATATAGCTGAATAAACCTTTTGTTGTTGTTGTTTTTACAGAAGTGCATTTCAATGGCATGAAAATGTTTTAACTGTGCACTATAAGCAATTTTTAAAAGCAATAATAACCTTGGGCTCTGTCTGTCAATCTAACCTACATCATGAGATTATTGTGATGATAAAAAGGGAGGAGAGAATTATGCCCTCCATCCAGTGCTCACCTAGGAAAGAACAAGACAAAAAAATTAATTGAACAAACTTGCTTTTTGCAATCTTTCTTTCCCTTTGCCTCAGGGAAGAAAACTGTTCAATCTACTGTCTGAATTGCAATTGTCTCATACAAGCCAATGGGATAATGAAATTGACCAGATCGTAAGCAGCGTTTAGAGACTATAAATTTCACCACTAAGCAAAATGCCTGATAAATTGAAAAGTAAGTGTTCTGCAGGGCACTGCTAAATAGAAAGGGTAGCATTGCACTGATTTTTCCTTTTAAAGAGTTACTTGTGTATATACTTGAATATGCACCCGTCCTTTAACTAATTCTATCTGTTTCTCTAAAACTGTGAATAGAGTTTCAAAAATGCTGAATGTGAGAGGATCAGTCTCATCACAACTGACAGGTGCCAATTGCAGCAAGTGCTGGCAACAACTCTGAGTCCTAGTTTCAGCTCTTCCAGTCTCAGTTTAAACAACGCCATGCAACTGTTTGCAAAAACTTTCCCCCACCAGCCCACTATGTTTCCATGCTTGGAACAGAGGAGGAGGTGCTCTCTGGCATAGCTAGGTAGCATAGCAATGTGGAAGGCTGGCAGAGGAAGGATGGAGAAAATCAGTCCCTCGTTTACCAGCCTGCTCACTCACCTGCATGGAATTCCTTGTCGCCTATGTCAACCAGGTGAGCTAATAAATACAAGGCTGAGTTAGCAATTAATCTTTTGATTTATGTTATGTTCTACTAGAATAAAAGGCATGTTTAAATAAAATACAGGCATGCAAATATTACACACGCATGAATGTTTGCCTGCACATGTCTTTAACTGCTGACAAGCTTGACAGAGATTTCTGAGTATCCATTTGTGCAGGATATCCTGTTGCTGGACTAGAACTCCCATCATCTATGACTCTGACCATTGACTATGCTGTTGGGGGCTGATGGGAGTGGGAGTCCTATAGTATCTAGAGGGCCACAGGTTCTCCACATTAGAGCAGGGAGATAAATAGATTTTACTGGCCTTGTGAATTTGGAAATGGTTGTTGTTGGAGGAAGGTAAGCAAAGACGATTACTCCAATAATCGAAATACTCTAGTATTTCCTCAGAAGGTTACTGTGTAGCAGATTTAATCAAAATGGGTTTTGTTCCTGCCCCCCACTGAAGAGCGTTAATAAAATGCAACCTTTCTCCTTATCCTTATTAAGGCTAATTGTGTAGTAGTTGACCTAGCTGCAGGAGTAAAAATAAGACACAGTCATTCCTGTCTTCACACATTCTGGCACTGGAAAGCAATACGTAGTGGTTCTTCTGAATAGGTAACCACCCTTTTCTGGCAGGGCTCCAGTGACACTAGCAACTTCACAAGAAGCAGAGATTCAAATGTACCAGGCCTCCTCTGCATTACTAGATCTTGATGCTGAGGTAAAGTTTCACCTGTAAGGTTTCGCCTATTATGCACCGAAAGAGATTGGCAGCTGTTTCGTGCCCAATTCAAGGTGCTCACATTAGTGTTTAAATGACCCAGGCCCCAAATATCTGATAGACCCCCTCCTACCATATAGTCCTTCTCAGGTGTTCAGATCTGCAGAGGGGGCCCTCTTGGTTGTTCCACCAGCCTCAGAAATTCAGGGTGGTGGTGCTCCAGAAAAGAACATTCTCCATGGCTAGACTTAAGCCGCAAAATTCCCTCCCCACAAAGGTGCATCTGCCACCTTCATCATACAACTCGCAGTGAACGCTGAAGATGCCCCTCTTTGCCCTGTCTTTTGACCTTTGGGATGTATATTTTTAGGACCCAGCTTATTTCTGTGATTGTAAGTTGTTTCATTTTTTTTTATATGATATTTATTAAAGTTTCAAAGAATACAAGAATTACACAAAAACAAAAAATAAAAATACAAGAAAATACAAAATACAGAAAAAAGATTAAAGTTTTTAAGATATAACAAAAAATGAAAAATAAAAAGAAACATACAAAATAAAAACAGTTAAAAACACGTTAATTTTCCATAGCATATCTTCCTTACACTTATTTCCCCGGACTTCCTCGTACCTCCCTTTTTTGTATTCCAGTTCAGTTTGTTCGTTCAGCAAATCCTTACCATTAAGCTTTTACCCATTTGTAAACCTTTTTCGTATCTCTTAAAGCATTACAGCTGGAAACCACTTAGTTTTTATCCAACATCCTTCTAAGATTCCTTAATTTTACAATATTTCTGTAAATAGTCTTTAAATTTCTTCCAGTCTTCTTTCACCGACTTTTCTCCCTGGTCTCGGATTCTGCCAGTCATTTCTGCCAATTCCATGTAGTCAATCACCTTCATCTGCCATTCTTCCAGAGAGGGTAGATCTTGTGTCTTCCAATACTTTGCAATGAGTATTCTTGCTGCTGTTGTAGCATACATAAAAAAAGTTCTGTCCTTCTTTGGCACCAATTGGCCGACAGTGCCCAGAAGAAAGGCCTCTGGTTTCTTCAGAAAGGTATATTTAAATACCTTTTTTATTTCATTATAAATCATCTCCCGGAAAGCCAGATTGTAAGTTGTTTCAAACGGCTTTTAACATTGTGCTTTAATCGTTGTAACCCATTGTTGGGACCTCAGGGTTAAGGGCAGGAAAAAATAATTGGCAAGCCCAAGAGGCTCAGTGGTTTAAACCACAACGCCACACGCTACCCAGGTACCCCTTTAAATCACCCTTGGTACACAGGCTGCTTGACGGGTGACAAAAGCCAGTCTTCTCTTCCCTAACTTTTCAAACAATGTTGATTTTTATGTGATCACCCTAAAGTGGTTTTTAAGAGGTTCTTCAATTTAGTTTTTTTTTTTGGGTGGGTGGCAGGAGGGGGAGTAAGCACTGTGGCAGCTATTGAGGAAGCATAATGCGGAAGTGTCCTTCATCACTTTCAACCAGCCAAACTGTGCAGTTTTGCTTTGTTTAAAATCACTTCTACATCAAATCCAAATAAAGTCTCGAGACAAAATCTGCAGAAACTGTTGACATCATTTTCCTGTTATAAGAGCCTGGGGCTATTGGTAAGGGGATGGGCAATGCCTTGAATCTTCTGCTGCATCACACTCACAATCTGGGGACTGCAATTCTCCTGCTACCACACTGCCATTGGAGGGTTTTGCCAGGGTGGCTCATATCTGCCTTGCAGGCTCCCACCTGCTAGGATGCATCAACTCTGATTCTTCCCATTGTTAAGCTAAAGCAACAGAGAGAAAAGCAAGCTTTGGTCTCCAGCATCAGAAAACTGGATCAAGGTAAGTTTCATCTAGTCTAGGATTCTGTTTCTTGCAGTAGCTAACCAGATGCCCTTGGAAAGCCCATAGAAACAGGACATGAGGATAAGAGCCCCCTCCCCCTCTGTTGACTCACTCCAAATGCTGTTCAATGGAATTCTGACTCTGAATGTGAACCTACAGTTTAGTTATGTTGGCAATGAATCTAGGGGTTTCCCCATACTTCAGCAGGGCAGGCCCTACAGATGAAGAGGCAGGGGGAATTTTATTCTCCCCGCCCGCCTTTCTGAATCACAGACATGATCCAAAGTTGACTTTATCAGAGCAAAGTGAAGGATACGGCTAAGGCAGGTGTGACGAAGCTTTGACTTTTTGGATGTTTCTGGACTACAACTCCCATCATGCCTGGCCACTGGAGCTGATGGGTTTTGTAGTTCAGCAACATCTGGTGGGACGAAGATTCCTCATGTCTGACCTGATGTCCGCTGGTCTGCAGCACACATCTAGCTCCTTAAAGGATTTATACATGGAACAAAGAATATGCTTTTCATGTGATCTTGGTTTTTCTTTTTTTTTAAGGGAAACACATCTGACGTGCCATTATGGAAAGCTTTTAGGCACCTCTATGCTCAGGATTTGGGTTGTTAACTTGGACTGTACAGTGGCACTATTTCTGGCATATTGCTGGGTGGGCAGGAGCCTCTCCCAGTCTCACATTGAACGTAACTGATCTGTAGAAAAGACATCATGACCTGGGGAAAAAAAGAGTCCATGAACATACTTCTGTAACCTAAGAAAATCTTTAATTAAATTTCTTTGTTTTAAAAATGTATTACATAACTAGACAAAATAAATAATTCTACAGTGTATAATATTGTACAGTACAACCAGTGTGGTGCAGTGGTTTGAATGCTGGACTAGGATCCAGGAGATCAGAGTTCAAATCCCCACTCAGCCATGAAGCTCACTGGGTGACGTAGGGCCCATCATAGTCTCTCAGCCAAACCTACCTCATAGGGTTGTTGTGAGGTACATGATGGGAGAGAATCATGTACGCCTCCTAAAGCTCCTTGGCAGATAATAAGTAAATAAATAATAAATATGATTGCTCAATGTCACACATTTCACTGGTGAAACATTTCACATTTGAAGATTCACAGATGAATTGCCCCATGTAAATCATGTTTAGATTTGAAATCAATGGGGGGGGGGGAACCACAGTTGGAACATCTTATTTTTATTTCTGATTGTATCCCGCCCCTCATCGATATATCTCAGGGAGGTTCACAACATAAAAATACAATATAAAATATATATTGTAAAATTAAGAACAACAAACCCATAATCCCTTTCCCAGAACATCGGATGTCAATCAGCCAAAGGCTGCCGTTTTCGCCTGGCGTTTTCCATAGGGAAGAGCGGGCACTAAGATATAGGCAGTATTTCAATTTCACATTCTCCCCCTGACCTGAAAGGGCTTCCAAATTCTTTCAGATCTGCCCGTCCTCTTCCCTTTCACAGGAGGCGGCTGGGGGGGAAGGCGCGCCTCTAAGCATCCTCCCCTTTCCCTTCCCTCTTGCGTGCTCAAAGTAAATAGGAAGGGCTGGGTGTCCAGGCGTTGAATTTCACTTCCTGTCACCTGGAGTTTTTTGTCTCTCCCTGAGCTCTTGCTAAAGGGCGCACCTTGAAGTTCAGGCGGCGGGGAAGGAGTTAATCGGAGATCCGCGGAAGGGAAACACCCCTCTTGGGCTGCAGCGTAGCCCGTGAGTCAGTTTCACCTGAAACCAGTCGGCAGGTAGTGAAAAAAAACCCGAAAAGGGAAACAGATCGCAGAGGTCCGAGGGAGGAAGTCGTCGCACAAAACCGAAGGGACGGCGCCCAGGGAGCTTCACTCTTCCGATCCCCGGACACGCGCCCGCCGCCCGCAATTCTCTCCGAGGAGGAACCGAAAGGAAGAGTCGCCGTCGCGCATCGGCAGCTGGACTTTTTGGGAACAGGCGAGCCAGAGTTTTTAAAAGAAGAAAAAATCTGGGGGGGAAAGTTATTTAAAGAAATGCTCTTTGGGCTAAAGAGCCACAAGTAGAGGGGAGGGGAAAGAACTCCCTTTCAGCTGTCCTAGTCGACGGTGCGGTCGACTCTCCTTGGCGAGCCCTTCTGCGCTTTGCCTGCTTTCCGCTCCTCGAAGCGCACCGCCCTCGCTCGGCTGCGGAGATCCACCGCCTGCGCGGCAGAAGGGGCTCCGCCTGCGTCACGATGCTCCCCCGTCGGCTTCACGTCCAGGCTGGGCTGCTGCTTCAGCTGGTCGCGGCTGCCTTGGTAGCCGTCGGGCAGGAAGAGGCGGCGGAAGGAGAGTCCTTCGGAGACAGGTGCCAGGCCCATTTCACGGCCGGCTTGCCCGAGTTCGTCCTGGACACGGACGCCTCGGTGGAGAACGGAGCCACCTTCCTGTCCTCGCCGTCGGTGGAGAGGGGCCGCGACTGCGTGCGGGCCTGCTGCAAGCACCCGCAGTGCAACCTGGCCCTGGTGGAGAAGGTCCCCGGGGGGGACGAGGAAGACGGCATCCACAGCTGCTTCCTCCTCGACTGCCTCTACGAGCAGGCCTTCGTCTGCAAGTTTGCCCGGAAGGATGGCTTCCTCAACTATGTCAAGAAGGACGTGTACGAGGCCTATGTGGCCATGCGGGGGAAAGGCCATCGGGGTAAGGAGATGTGTGTGTGTGGTGGTTAGGGTGTCTTGTGGGACGTGTCGAGATTTGCCCTACTATAGACTGAAGTATTATTCCCCCCGCAAAAATACTAGAATTCCAGAGAGACCCAAACAAGGCGGGTCAGGAGTAAGGAGAAGTAGGACTTCTACTGGAGTTAGGAGCTGGTTTTTGAAAAAAGGATTAGACCAGGGGTCGCCAACATTTAGGGACCTTGAGTTTATTCACAAACTGGAGGAAATGTGGTAGGTAACACAACACACACAACATCCCCCCCCCAAATCCTGGGAACTGTAGTTCACCCCTCTCGGGTTCAGTTCTCAGCACAAACTGCAGTTCCCTGTAAGACAGGGTGATGTCTAGTTTTCAATATTGTGATATATTACCAGCTGAGCATTGCAATATACCGATATATCGCGAAGTCTGAATTAAGGATGAAAGTATGTAGAAGCGAACCCAGGTTTCTTTCTTTTTTGCCCTTTAAGTTTAATGTGTTTATACAGCTGCTGCCACCCTCACAACCAAGTACACACTACAACCTGTTCAGTTGGCTACAGCTAAATGCTTCCTTCAAGCCTAATTTCATCAGTGGGAGGAGCAGGCACCCTGTGGGTGTCAAGGGTGCATGTGTGCCAAGAGGTGCTACATTGGAGACCCCTGGATTAGGCAAGTGAATGGAGTGTAGGTCTATCAAAGCAGTTTTAACTACTGAGTTGAGCCCCCATGTCCAGGAGCAGTTGGCAGGAGAAAGCGACCACCTTCATGCCTTGATCATGAGTAACCAGAGGCATCTGCTGCCCCTGGAAACTGAATAGTGGAACCAGTTGACCTTGGTCTGATCTGGAAAAAGTTAATATGCTTTTGTGAGAGAGACTCTGGCCAAACATTGTTTTGAAAATTCATAAATCCAGAATCTTTAACAGGAGGAAGGGAAAGCACATATATTACAAAGGCTGAAATCTAAGCACAGGGAGGAAATCTCATTGGAAAAACCCACCAGGGAGCAAATCCCATTGAATTTAGTGGGATTTAATTGTGAGAAAAAGATGCTCATATTATGCTGCATAACTGGAATGTGTAAATGAAAGCTTAAGAACTTTCAGCCTTTTCACTGTGTGATCCTGGCTGAATAATTTAACTGGATGTGTTATAGGGGTGAAGGGCAAGGGTCTGTAGTTTGTTCTTATTGCCTCTCTATAATGGCAGCCTTCCAGTAGAATGTCTACATAAAGATCTTTCAAAATACATGCAGCAGTTTCTAACAAAACAAATATGAGGAGTGGCAGGCAGTCAGGCTCTTCATCAATAACATAGTTCTGTACTTTTTCCTGGAAAAGTGCAATATTACAGGAATGTTCCAGTTTACTTTAACTATGGAACTTTTCCACATTGTGGCTTCTTGTGTGCGTATGCAAATTGTGACCGTGTAAAACATCTATCCCACATCCCCATGCAACATGGATTATGACGCAGGGCAGCCCTTTAACAAAAAGAATGGTAAACTCATGGGGAAATGCCACTAAAGACCTTTCTGCACATGTTGATCTCTAACACTACAAATGTACACGTGCTGCCCATTATTTGTGTGCTGCCTGTGTATCCTTCCTCAAGACTGGGCTTTTGTTTCAGGGTGATTGCATTTTCCATCCACTAAATGTTATATTTTATAGTACTTTGCAGCCAAGGTGGCCTTTGGCTGCATACTAACTCTAGCAAAGAGTGCCTTGTTCAATTTTTTAGTAACTTGAGTCTTTAAAAATTCATTTTATAGCTTGCTTCAAAATTTGCATCTGTGATTTATCATTATTACTCGAGACAGTAAATTTGCACAAATGTATCTGATCATCATTGGTCAAGCACATACCATTTGAGTGTTACTGATCTTATAAACATTCCTGCAAATAGCTCCTTCCCCCAAACACACAAACAATGCAGTATTAGGCATGCAGGTGAGTATTGCCAGATTTACAAGAAAAGATGATCTGCTTATACTATTTGATTCCTCTATTTCCTTGCGTGCCTAGGAAACTACATCCCATTCCACAACAGTGCATCTATGGTTGTTGTGATTAGCTTCAGGTTGTGTTATGGGCAACTCCTGGATGTAGTCAGCGGTGTAATTTTATCAGTTGTCACTAACTAACCAGCCTGCATATCAGCTTGACTATCACTTACCCCAGTGGTTTTCACCCAGTGTGCCGTGGCACCCTGGGGTGCCTTGAATGATGGTCGGGGTGCCATGGGCAACACTAGCCTCTGTCCCTCTTTCTTTCGTTCCCTCGCTCCCTCTGATGCCCTCTCATGTCTCTGCTGCCCAAAGGCTTGCACAGCTGTTTATTGCAGCAGCCCTGGCTATAAGCTCTGCAGGTGAATGGTGTCTCTGGAAGGCACCTCTCTTTGGGGTAGGGTGGGGGGCAGCAAGAATGGCGGCAGCAGGAGAAGAGGAGGCTGAGGGAACACTCCACAAAGGAGGATGTTCGAAAAGGAGTGAGTGGCAGCCATCTGTGTGGGCACGGGGTGACCTAACTGGACTCCTGAGCCCCACAGGGGTGCCGCAGAAAGAAGGTAGTTACTTAAGGGAGCCGTGGACTCAAAAAGGTTGAAAATCTCTGACTTACCCAACAAGAATAATTCCCCGGCAACAACCCATGATGTGATGCTGTACTTCTTGCACTCAATCAAGGCTGTTGGAATGCCCTGTCTCATAACTGGTTGGACATTCCCAATGAGGACATGACTTGGACTTGTGCAGGATTTGGACCAGGGAAACTTTGTTTCTAATCCCTACTCAGGTTCCTTGTTGTAGTGATAAACCTTTTAGCCCCGTTGACTGCAGACATGAACTTCTGGGGGAATATTAAGGAGTATATCAACAGATAAGAACAGCGCATGCACAGTCATTGAAATGACATTCAAAGTCCTGCACTACTCTAGTAGAGTCTGTAAGAAGGGATTCTACCACATTTCACTGGGGACAGAAGCACGGTGCCAGGCCATAGGGAACATTTTGAATATGCACAACCCCAGACCTTACTCAGGTCATCTGCAGATACAATGTTGAAGGGTCAAGGGAATGTGATGTACCAATCCATACCCATAGTCTATTATTTTTTCCTTTGGCCTAAATGTGCTTTGACTCCTGAATGTCCAGAGACTTGTGGGAGAGAAACGGGAGTTTCAGATCTTGGATTACTTAAGAGAGCTTTGAGTAAAAGCTCATTGTGCACCTATCAAAATATCTTTGCGGGTCCAAACGTTTTAAAAGTGCCGCTTTCAGCATTTAATTGCACGTAAAGATGTGCCTTCCATGAAGCATTTTTTCCATTTCTCTTCACTAACTATTTGCGGCCTGGCAACAGAAGTACCAGTCTTCAAAGAAATCTAAACCTAGGCCTAGCAAGGAGTCTCATGGGGATTAGGTCTGAGCCTTCCTGGAACCTAATTGCCTCATGCTGAACCAGGAATGCTTTGATGGAGGAGAAGAATACAGTGCAAGGTCCTGTATTTGGAGGTGGAACTTCAGCTTCCTGGCATCTTGAGTTTAAAAAGGCTCAGGCAGCAGGTGGTGTGCATGAAACTCTGGAGAGCCACTGCCAAAGGTCGCATCCACAGCATACATTTAAAGCACTGTTACATTATTTTGACAGTCATGGAGAATCCTGGGGACTGTAGTTTGTTTTGGCTGCTGACCCACACAGAACTACAGTTCCCAGGATTCCCCATGAGTGTTAAAGTGGCATAACAGTGCTATAATAATAATAATAATAATAATAATAATAAATATTTTATTTGTATCCTGGCCGAGGCCAGGCTCAGAGCGGCTAACATCATAAAAACAAGACAATATGCATAAAAACAGACATCAATTAATTAAAATACATCTTAAAATTAATTCAGACAAGTTAAAATCTGGGCAGGTGGCAATTATCAGGCTGGAATTGAGAGTGGTTAATACTTGCCAGGACCAACTGTTTCCACTGGTCATACAAGGACCTGTGAGCGGGTTGAGGGCCTCCTTTGGGCTTGTTTTATACAAAGGAAAGTAAGTCAAACTGCATCCTGCCCAAAGGCCTGGCGGAACAGCTCCGTCTTTAAATATATAGCATGGAGGTGATCAAAGCTGGGCTAGAAAGATCAATGGGCAAAGGTTTGATCTGATGTAAGGCAACTTCCTATGTTTATATAGGAGGTCTCAGCACCTACTTACCAGTTGGATGCACCAATTTACTGTAAGAGCATAAATAAAACATTAAAAAAGGAGGTCTTGTCACAGCCAGGAAGACCTTTTATTTTTGCTTCCTCTTCTGTTCAGAATGTTTCATGCTTTTCTGTTACTGGAAAGAGGAGGAGGTTAACATGATAGTGATGTTGGGTATTTTTGAAAGGTTTTGTCGTGTGTGCATGATGCCATCAATAACAGGTTTTGTTTGTGGGCTTTTTATAGGCATCTTGTTATCTGCTGTGAGAACAGGATGTTGGACTAGGTGGGCCTGATCCAGCACTCTCTTCTGATGTTCCTGAACAATCCACCACATTTTTTAAAAATGTAGCTGTTGTAGTGGATGATAGATATACGGTATATGAAAACACTAGTTTCCTACTTTCTATACTTTATGCTAGGCATGGCAAATATATGGGCATGGATGGTTTTGAAGGCTGTGAGAGCAATTTGCCCTGCACTCATTACACATTTCCCTGTACAAAATTGCTGCAGGATTTCTCAATAGTAACCAAAACAAATTTAATGCTTTATCTGTTAGTGGGGGCAGTTCCAAAAAAAGTAAGGAATGTAGATGTTTGTGTAAATAGACCCTGTCAGTATACTGAAACATATGTGTGTGTGTGTGTGTGTGTGTGTGTGTTAGGTTAAAGTTTGACGTTATTGAAGCTTAACCTTCACCACCCAATTATTATAAGGGAGCTGAAAAACTGTTTCAAGCCAGGAGATGGGAAGATTGGTGAACAAAAAACTAGCTCACAAAAATTGAATGAGGTGGAGACTGTACGCAGTACAGTGGTACCTCTGGTTACATACACTTCAGGTTACATACGCTTCAGGTTACACACTCCACTAAGCCAGAAATAGTGCTTCAGGTTAAGAACTTTGCTTCAGGATGAGAACAGAAATCGTGCTCCGGTGGCGCAGTGGCAGCAGGAGGCCCCATTAGCTAAAGTGGTGCTTCAGGTTAGGAACAGTTTCAGGTTAAGAACAGACCTCTGGAACGAATTAAGTACTTAACCCGAGGTACCACTGTAATACCAATTTGGCTTTCTCCTGTATAAACTTCTCCTTGTGTTGAGGGCATATTCTGAGGCGCCTTCTCTGAATGACTTATCATAGACGCTTGCTGGTCTCTCCAGGTTATGGAATGCCTTTCCCGGAAGGTTTGCTTGGTGCCTGTTCTTCATTTTGACCCAGGATTGTAAATTCTATCCAGATGGGCTTTTGGAGATAAGCTAAACGCTTATTCTTTTGTCTACTCCAGCTTTAATTTGCTTCTTTCCCGCTTTGTTTTTGTGTGTGGCTTTAAAAATCTCCGCATGTTTATGTTTGCTGGGGGCTGATTTGTGGGATTGAGATATTTGAAAATGAAATACAATTGAAGCTGCTGACAAGGAATGGTGGTGGGATCTGAGCCAGAAAACAAATGTATTCTGTAGCTATGACATATGAACTAGGTCAGGAGGTGGGGAATCCCGTAGGGAATGGAAGGCTTGTTTGAACAGGACAAGTGAGTGCATCATTTCCGTTGGGTGCCCGGGAAGAGTGAGGTTACTATAGGTGTGTTTCTAGGAGACCGGATTAACAAAGCCCCTGAGCAGTGAGGTGACTTACCTACCTGGCAGATACTTTTTCGTTTACGTCACTTTCTCTCCATGACCTGCCTGAGACTTCTGCTGCGCTGGAGGGAATGTAAGAGACAAAACACAGAAGTTTGCCTCCAGTCTGTGCATATCATTAAAATTAGTTTTGGCAGGCAAGGCTGTGTGGTTGTCTGACTTAGGCAATGCATATGACCCCACCCAAAGAGTAAGGAACAGAGACCGCCGAGAATGTGTAGAGTAGCATCCCGGTCGTAATGAACCCTGCATGCAGTCTCAAGAGGAACAGGTCAGATATACATGTTGTCCACTCCGCTTGATCAGTTCTCCAAGCTTTTTCTCTGGATGTGTTTAGGTTATTGTAAATGTGAAGGGATATGTAGAGTCAAAAAGGGAGAGGGGACAGCAAAAATGTAGGAGAGTTGACTGTTCAAATAGTATAGTTTAGCACAGTGTTTCTCAAACTTGGGTCTCCATAGTTTCCAATTCCCATAATCCCTAGCTAGCAGGACCAGTGGTCAAGGATGATGGGAGTTGTAGTCCAACAACAGCTGGAGACCCCAGTTTGAGAAACACTGGTTTAGGAGCTTTGCACTTCTGCACCATGTCTCATGCAGTGCATAAGTAATGTGTGCCTGGCTCTCACGTTATTGGCCCAAAGAGCAATATAGCGGTCAGAAGTGCAGTAGTAAATAAGCTACATGGGTAATGGAGGAGGCTAGGCCGGAATATAAATCAAGCATGACCTGAAGGATAGCTCAGTCAGTAGAGCACGAGACTCTTAATCCCAGAGTCATGGGTTCAAGCCCCACATTGGCCAAGAGATTGCTGTATTTCAGGGGGTTGGACTAGATGACACTTGGGTCCCTTCCAACTCTACGATTCTCTTTTTTTATGTGTTCTCCAGATGGTGCTGTGCTACTAGAGTAGGGATGAAAATGTGTAGCCCTCTAGATGCTGCTGGACTGCAATAGTCACCATCCATGACCATTGGTCATGTTACTGGGAACCAATGTCCCCACTGTGGAAGGACATGTGGGTCCAGAATTGGCCTCCACAGTCACTTACAGACTCACTGTTAAAACCGTGTTTATGGAAGACAATCTTACTTGGCTACGAGTGATTGCCGAAGAAGAAGACAACTGTGTTCCCAGAGTAGGGATGGAAACCTGCAGCCCTCTAGATGCTGCTGGACTGCAACAGTCATCATCCATGACCATTGGCCATGTTGGCTGCTGTTGCTGATGGGGGCTGGTGTCCAACATCTGGAGGACCACAGGTCCTCTCCTCTGTGCTGGGTTGGATTTAGACCTGTGGGAGCTGACTTCAGAAATGCATTGGGGCAGGGTTCTTTTCTTGCATCCTCAGTTCCCCATCAATAAAATGGGAACAGGGCTGCTGCTAGGATAAATCTGATCATGACTGCAAAGCATTTGGAGCCCTAAAGAGTACTTTAGAGATAATTTCTAAGAATTGGTACATGCCACTTCCCAAAGTGTTAGTCTGGCGAAACATTAAGGGTAATAATGGGCAAATTCCATAATGTCAGAATAAGGATGGGCAGCTGGGCCATGCTACTTCCTCTTTGTCATCCTGTAGGCCAAATGCCCCAACTGGTATGTCCAGTATAATTCCAGTATGATTTCTCCAGAGCCTTGCCCAGTTATGGTGGCAACCTTCACCCTCTTGTACAGCCTCATGATGATCAGCTCACCAAGCACTGCCAGGACGGTCACATTGGTTTTTATTTGTTAGCTGTCAAATGCAAGCACAGCAAACACAACTGAGGTTGCAACATAACATTGCCATGCTCTTCCTTATCCAACAGCCCAAGCTCGATATGTGCCTTGGCTCACATGGGTGGCCTGTTAATTTCTGTAGAAACTCTGTTCCATCCCACAGAACAGAGTGAAGAACCTTTAGCCCCTCCAGAGATTGTTGGACTAGAACTCCCTTCACCCCCATCACCATTCTGGCCGGGGCTGATGGGAGTTGGAAGCCAACATCCTCTGGAAAGCCCATAGGATCCCCTTCCCTACTGAAATAGATTTGCTTCCTTCACTGAGATTAGCCTTCTTCCCTCTCTTGTGGGCAGGTGAAAGATCTATGGTGATTCTTTCGATCATCACACATAAGATTTTATATACCAGAATAAAAATGGAATGTATGCTCAGATGTGCAAAAACAGCTCTGGGGTGAAAAAAAGTGTGTGTGTGGGGGGGAGGCATTAGCTCAGTTGGTAGTTAGAGCATGGTGCTGATAATGGCAAGGTTGCATGTTTGATCCCCGTATGGGACAACTGCATATTCCTGCATTGTAGAGGGTTGGACTAGATGATCCTCAGGGTCCCTTCCGACTCTACAAATCTATGATTCTATGTGCCTAAACACTTTCTGCTCAAATGAGAAAACTGCTTTTAGGAATAGATGGGTATTTGAGTACTTGTTTGCTGACCGCTTAAAAAAAAAATAGTCAAAAGAAGACGATACATAATTGTGCTGAAGCTGAGCAAGAATAGAAATAAAAGCATTTTGTCTGGAATCTTTAGATGGAATAATATGCCAAAGACTCTTCTCCTTGTTTGTAATTCTTGAGCAAGTCTGGCGCCCCCTCAGCTCTCGCCACTTGTTTTGGCTGTTAAGGATTGTTTTTTGTTAAGGATTGTTTTGGCTGCTAAGAATTAAGGAATAATGCTGTTCATCATAAACTGTATTCTTGGGTGCCTGCTGTTGACTCTTTAGTGATGCTGCTGCACTCGTTGTTTTCTCCATAAAATGGGAATCCTGTGTTTTCCTTATGTGGAAGGGCAGGACCCAAAGATGTTTACTGGCAACAATCTAGAGCCTGCTATTTAAGTTATGACTTCATAGGTTTATTCTGGGTCTAGGCAAACCAGTTCAGTGGGAGTGGAATAATAACCTCCTCAAACTTTTGGCTATGTTTAGAACAGCACCTTCTCCTAATACTTGCAAACACAGCCTGCCTCCAGTTTTTCAGTTTATTGGGTGGGAAGAAGTGTCTCCAGAACTGTCACCACCCCAGAAGCAACTGCTGGTGACTTTTGGACTTTGATCCTAGGCACTTGCATGCAGGGAAGTGGCTTTTATTGAGTGAGATGGGGATTTCCTTCCAAGGTGTTTTTGCAGTGGAGCCCAGCAATTTGCCGTTTGTTTTCCCAACAGACTTTGCCATCCAGCCTAACCTACCTTGCAGGGTTGTCGTAAAGTACTTTAGCCCCTTCACATTTACCAGAAGACTAAATGGTGGGACACAGAAATTCCTCTTTCCTTTTGATTGCTTTCACCCGTTAGTAGCAGGTGTTGCTGGACAAAAGTGTGAATTGGTCTGGATTTAATTTTGATTTAGCAACACACACTAGGCCTGGGAGATATATCAGTATATAGCCCAGGACCAATATGAGGAGCCGACCGTGATGTCGGCTTCACTCACTAGTATATCGCTGGTGAAACCACCACCGCTCCTGAGTCCCTCTGCTAGCGACTTCTCTAGCCAGTGTTTCTCTACCCCAGGGGCCTGCAAAGTTTTTGTGGCTTGGGCCGGTTCACGGTCTCACAGACGCCGCGGTGGGCTGGAGTGTGTGTGTGCGCACATGCATGCACAAATGCTCCTTCTGGGGCGGAGGAGGCGTGCACAGCTTCCCATTGGCTGCGGAAGCTTCCTGCAGTCAATGGGAAGCTGGCCAGCGTCACAGAAGGCGGTCCCTGCTCTGCTCCGTGCCGGTTTAGCACGGCGCACAGCAGCTGACCAAGTAGAAAGTGGGGTTCCCTGAGCGGGTGGCGGGGGTCCATGGCTGGTTAAACGACCCCCATGGGCCGCTTGTGGCCCATGGGCCTTAGGCTGCCGACCCCTGCTCTGCCCTCATACTGTGCAGAGGGACAAAAAAGCTACATTGGCGAAGCGCCCATAGAGCTTGGAGTTCCCCCACTGCATCTTTTAACTGCTCAGCTGATGAGTGTGCGGTTGCTGCTCCCCTCAGAGTCCCCCATCCTGGCACTGGCTCCAGGCAAGGGATCCCCGCTGCTCTCCCCGCTCATCCGCAAGCTGGGGGAACACTGGGGATGGGAAGCCCTCCCGTGCCCCAGCTGAGCTGCACAAACAAGCCGCCTTGTCCCAGCCCGCTAGGCGCCAGGGTGAAACCGCGTCAGCTCCTGCGGTGAGAGCTGCGGCAATTTCACCCGGTGCCTCGCAGCCAGTGCAGCTTGTTTGTTCAATATCGAGGTATATCATGACGTTTGGCTGGTGATATACTGCGATGCTGCAAAGCTGATATCGCCCAGCCCTAACACTCACCGTGACACAGTTGGCTGCTGCTTTAGATTAATATGAAGTGTTCTGATACCTTTGCCAGTGTTTTTGCAGGAAAGCTTGAAGCCACTCATTGCGATGGCAGAGAACTCATACTGGCCATCATCACTTTCACAGCAGTCAAAAAAAATTTAGTGTCATGGGGCTACTGAATTTCTTTGGATTTGCTAAAGAGAATGTGATACTGTTTGCCTTAAAACAAGGGAAGCGAAACCCCTGAAAATCCAAAGTGGTACAGACTAAAAAGAGTTGCAGTGCTTAGAGTCGGAAGGTATTTGTCATGTATACAGTGCTAAAGAAAGTACGAACAACTGGACAGTTTCATGATGCTGAACTTTGATCTGAGCTTATGATAGGCAAATGCTTACTTGAATCAAAGTTCACAGATAAAGGAAGTTAGACCAGGATTATGTATCGAGGCGAGGTTTGTTTTTGTATAGTGTAGGTCACGATAAAGAGAGAAAGGACTTCGTTGAAACTCTGGTGTTGAAAGAGGCTGCATCTCCAGGGGCAGAGTACATGTTGATGCAGAAGGCCCAATTTGAATCTCCAGCTAAAAGGATCTTGGATAGCAGAACTGCAAAAGCCAGAGACTTCAGAATATTGCTGCGTCTCAGAGCAAAAACCAAGCTGGTTCAAATGTTCTCGTCTGTAAAGGGGTTTGCCAGTGGCGTCTTGGCTACAGATTTTACCCAGTCTAACTGTTTTGGATCCTTTCCCCAACACAACCTTGGGAATTATAGTTCTGGGTTCAAACCAGGGCTCTTTCATGAAACTGATTCTTGCTACAAAAGCAACAACTGCTTTGTGTTTTGGACATTAACTGGTCCTAATAGCATTTATTATTTCCACTGACTTGACTCTACATACTCCTCCCTGGACTTATACAACTACCAAAATCTTGATCTAAGCTTGTACAGTAGTACAATTATGTCCTTCAGCTCATTTAATTTCCGTGTTGGGAAAAAAAAAAGTTCCAGGTCGAGCAAAGGTCCAAGTGTGGTTTGTGTGTGCTGTTGTCTTTCTCTATAAAGGTGAATGGCTCAGGCGTGAATGCTTTAATCTCTTAAAGACCAGACTCACCTTTAGAATCTGTCTTCTCTTTTCAAATAGGAATTTTATTGGTATGAGTTTTGTTTGTTTTTCTTCATGTGTACCTTGAGTGAAATCTTTTGTCTGGAATAAAGTAGGCAAGTCCTGTTGAGGCAGATTCCAGGGATGGCTGCAACACAATACAATGTGCAGCAGGGCTTGCGGAGTTTTGAAACTGAGCTACAGATGAGGCCTACAGGAGTCCTCCTTCCTGGTCAAAATTCCTTTTTCCCCCATTTACTCTTCTCCTCCCAGTTTCCCATTTTTTCCCCTTCCAACACTCAGACAGCAAGCATTTCATGGCCACTAAGCATGCTCAGCCATAGCTGTTTTTGGGGTTATGTTGGTTGTCCCAAGCCTGCTGAGATTTACGGGTATATGATTAGAAAAAGTCTGTTGAACTTTATTTCAATATATGATCACAGCATCGAAACTTTTACATGCACAAAGAAGGAAAAATTCATCATTGTCTACAGTGGAGGAATGGTTGTTAGAATTACTGGACTTGGCTGAGATAGTGAAATTGACATGTTTAATCAGAGAAAACCCATTGTCAACATTTACTAAAGACTGGAAACTTTCTATGGGTTTTTTGCATGAAAAAGAAAATGTACTTATGATATCTCGGTTTGAGGATTGAAGATAATGTTAGTTTATAAAAGGTGGATTTGTTGAGTGTTGTCTTGGAGTGCATGTGTTGAACAATTCTCTCTAAATAGCTGACAGCTAAAGAATCGGAAGTTCTCTTTTCTATTTCTCTCTATTTCCCTCTTTTTCTTTTACCCCATTCATTTTTTCTTCTGTTTCTGCTCTGGGTTTTTATTTAGATTAGTGTTTTAGTCTTGATAAAAATATATCCGATATTGATCTTTATTTTTTCCCATATTTCAATAAAAGGAAAGAACCTTCAAGATACAGTGGTGCCTCGCAAGACGAAATTAATCCGTTCCGCAAGAGTCTTCGTCTAGCGGTTTTTTCGTCTTGCGAAGCAAGCCCATTGACGGATTAGCGCTATTAGCGCTATCAGCTGTTTAGCGGCTATTAAAGGCTTAAAGGCTTAGGGATTAGCTGCTAAAAGGCTATTAAAAGGCTATTAAAGGCTTAGCAGATTAGATAAAGGGGAAAAGCGAAAAAAATCTCAAGACTCGCAAGACATTTTCGTCTTGCGAAGCAAGACCATAGGGGAATTCGTCCTGCGAAGCAACTTCAAAACGGAAAACCCTTTCGTCTAGCGGTTTTTCCGTCTTGCGAGGCATTCGTCTTGCGGGGCACCACTGTACTTGAAAACGAAAACAGATTTCCTGTTTTAATTGCTTGGCCTGAGCAGCCTCCTGGCCTAGGTAGTGTTGGCACAACAGATCACCTTCCTCCTGGGGTCAGGGCAAGGTGCAGTTGGGGACTTCAGCTGGAGGGTCCAGGTGCTGTTAACAATGCAAGAATAACATTTTATTTTAAACACCTTGGAGGAAGGTTGAAGTACTACAGTAAATGAAACTGACCCATTTACAGTTCCCAAAAGCTCACCCAGAGCAACTGTGTGCAGTGTGCATGAACTACAGAGGCATAATGTCAGTGATACAAATGAATGATGGCTTCCAGTCTGGGCATGTAGCAGAGGGGCTCTGAAAGAGACAAGAGCTCACCATCACGTCCCACGTCAGGCAATTGCTTAAGCACACACGCTACCTAAAGCTTGTATAGATATATTTTCTAGCCCTGGTTTTAGTGTGGAGTTTAGCAGGGCTCCCCCCCCCAGGTGTAAATCACTGGAACTAGGTTCTGGCATGTCTCAGGTGGGCGCCATAGCCGTCCTAAGAGAATGAGGGAAGTGTTCATGGTGAGTTCTGGCACCTCTTTTTCTAGAAAAATAGCACTGGAGATTAGGAAGTATGCTCACACATGTTTTGCAGTGAAGTACTCCCTGGAGCAATTATAAACCTTCCTGGGATGTTTCTGGAAGGAGTACTTCACTGTGAGACATACGGTTTATGTAATCAGATGCCAAGTAAGTGCACTTGTCATGGTGATATCCTAGTAAAAACCTATGGGGACTTTGATGTGATCCTAACCATACAGCCTAGAGTATAAAAAGGGCCTGGGTCCTCTGTGATCTATAGGGAGCTAACGATTTCCTTATTTCATAACACTTCATGCATTATGCAGGTTGGTTTTCACAAATAAGTAATTTGAGCTGAGGCAGTATGAAAATACACACAAAATATATATAACATAGTAACAAACAAACAAACACAATCATGTAAGTAACCAATTAATGCCTAAATAGGCCCACTGTAACTGTTTCTGATATACATGAAAGGGCTTTGTGGTCCAGTGTGTGTGTGGGGGGGTAGTACATCAAGTAGAATAGTAATACTTTTATAAATAAACATAAATTAGATACAGTACAGTGGTACCTCGGGTTACATACGCTTCAGGTTACATATGCTTCAGGTTACAGACTCTGCTAACCCAGAAATAGTACCTCGGGTTAAGAACTTTGCTTCAGGATGAGAACAGAAATCATGCTCTGGCGGCGCGACAGCAGCAGGAGGCCCCATTCGCTAAAGTGGTGCTTCAGGTTAAGAACAGTTCCAGGTTAAGAACGGACCTCCGGAACGAATTAAGTACTTAATCTGAGGTACCACTGTATATAGCAGTACTTTCAGAATGTAATTTTTTATTTTTTGTTATGTGCTATTTCTATTTTGTAAGGGATTGTTTTGTGTTTAAATGCTGTGTAATATATAAATATATATATCCCTGCGGAAGGAGGTAGTTATCATTTCCCTGCAGGCTATTTTTGTGATCAGCACCCCACCCCTATTGCTTTTCATGGGGTAAGGGAAATACATGCAGAAAAATGCTGGGGAGTTTTATAATTGATCTTCCAGATTCTTATGTTGTTTGAACCTCTGTGTAAAGCACCTTTATGTTACATTTTCTCCCTTTGTGACATGAGAAGAGCCTGTCGCCATGGAGAAACTCATCTAATGAGTTTCTGGGGAGAAGAGGTGGCATAATAAACATACTCAGGGGGCTATTCATTTATTAAGTCATGTTTGCTCTAATTTGAAAACATCTGAGACATGTGTCTGATCTGTCATATATATGTCTGAATGCACACCCACAGTGCAGCATCATGCATATTGTTGTTGAAACAGGATGGGTGTGGGTGCATCAGAATCCCCTGCTATAAAATGGAGAGTTTTCTTCCATTGGCTTACCAGAGGATTCCATGGAAACAATGCCTGTGTTTTAGAAGGAAGTAGTCTCTATCCATTCAGTTCCTTGCATCTCCAGTTAAAAGGGTCAGGTAGCAGAAGCTATGAAAAACCTTTAACTGCCTGAGATCTTGGAGAGCCGCTGCCAGTTTCCTATGCATTGGCAATCCATGTGGGGAAACGACCTTGGGGAAATGATGGGAACAGTGTGCTTGCATGGGTATAACCTAATGTAATCCTTTGGGTGTGTCCTGAGCATTTGCTGGTCTTTGCCTGTTGTTTAAAAAGTCTTGCTGTTCCAGCCACTTTCTGTAATGACGTTTAGGTAGCTGATTGAAAACTCTGGCATAACTGGCTGCACTTCATTCTAGTTTAAGGTCACTGGAAACTTCCCAGTACATTTCCATTTGACATCAAATGTCTTTGCCTGCAGCTTACTAGATTTGGCCCTTTCCCTCCAGATGAACAGCCCTTATTGCTAATGATAAATTGGAAAGGAAAGCTGGAGTGAACTTTCTGGGGTAAAAGATTATGGTAGTCCCGCTTCTTCGGCAACCGTCTCAAGGGCCTGTTTGTTGAGTTAGTAGGATCAAGTAGTAATACCACTCTTGGACACCTGTAACAGGTGGAGCGAGAACCAAAGAGAGGTAGAGCCGACGGATTCTGGTTTTGCCCTCATCCTCCACTGTGGCTGAGTTGTACAGTGGCAACACTGAGAGGAAGGAGGACAAAAAAAGACCATCAATGGGCTTTATAAAGTAAGAAGACAGGCAGGTGGGGGCTGGATAAAGGCAGACTGAGGTTAGTGGGGCAGTGCTCCACTTGCCCTGCTGGATGAGCCTCCCCTGTTTATTCTTCTATTTGCATATAAGAATGGGCACAGGCAAGGAAGTAGACAAGATGGCGGCAACAGCCACTGAGTCAACAATATGCTACAAAAGTGCTACTTGACTTCATCCCTTACTGTCCTTAAAGCTACTTGTCTTCTACCACTTTGAAAAAATGTCTAATAATTTTTTAATATAAACTGCTAATGTAGCATTTTAATCACCAGCGATACCTGTCCTTGGATATCCATTTTTTAAAAAATCTCCTGCAGGTTGTGGGGTGCATTTGCAGCTGTCATGTCATTTTAGTCATGTGTTTCTTCCCTTCATTTTTCAGAGTTGGAGCCAAGCATTCTGTCATCCTTTGTTAATCCTTTCGCTTTACTGATTTTTTAAAAATGATTTTATTCAGTTTATATTATTATTGGTTAGCTGTGCATGGTGCTGTATGTAGATTGGCAGGATATATTTTGAATTAATACATAAACATGTTGTTGCTTCTCCCCCTTGTCAGATGATCGGCCGCCCGTGGCCCGTGCATGGATGGAGATGAAAGTGCAGCCTAACGAGCCGGTGACGCTGAGGGGTTCAGAAAGTTTTGATGACCATGGTATTGTGAATTATGAATGGACTCTTCTCTCTGGCGATGACTCTCTGGTGATGGAGGTAAGGAAGGCCAATTGTTTGGCTTAGGTTTGCTTCCACAATAGCTTGCCAGTCTACACTTATCAGCATTCAGATTATCATATCTCTGCTTAATAAGCTGAGACAGAATGAACTGCCTGCACATGAAACCCCTTCTCTCCTTCCTCTGTGTCAGCCATGATTAAACAAGGGAATCTCTTTGTAAACATTGTTTTTCATTTCATTCGAACCAAGAAACTATGGTTAGTAGTTTCAGAATCAAGGTATGATATTCAACCATAGGCCATAGTTTAAGATTGATTAAAAGCTTTAGAACAAGCCTGAATCTTAAACTATGGCCTGTGGTTGAATATCATACCTTGATTCTGAAACTACTAACCATAGTTTCTTGGTACGGATGAAATGGGAAACTATGTTTGATTCAGGGATTCCCTGATTTAATTGTGGCTCCTATTAAGAGAGGAGCGAAGGGGCTGCATGCTGTGGCAAAAAGGTGGTTTATGTCTTGGCTTACTAAGTCAACATATGATCATCTGAATTGAGCCTGTGAATCATTTTGTCATGATGTCAGCAGTATGGTTCAATTAAGTTGTTACTCAGCATACGCCTCCTTTCTTTAAGCAAATTACTGGAGATGTTATGCAAAGTAACAAGCTCTGTGAGAATAGCCATCAGCTTTGCATCTGATATTCGTTTACTCCCTTCTCCCTCTAACACCTTTGCTTTCCTCTCCTACTAAATGACCTTTTTATATCCTTGAAATCCTTAATAGATGGGTTAATGCGTTTTTTTTATATTTAATGATATGGCATTGTTGAACTTTGCACAAAGATAAAAGACAATGAGATTAGCATTCAGTACTATTAATCCCAGAATATCGTTTAAGGGCATATGGTTTTCTTACATTATACGTAAGATCAAAGCAGGTCTGAGCCTGGTCAGTGTCTGGATTAGGAGACTGCCTGAAAGCCAGATCTGTAAGCTGTACTTAGTGTAAGTTTGATTATGTAAGGCATGCCTCAGTTCAAAGCTTGAACCTGTCCTGGGTTCGCGTATTCTAGATGTGTGCTACATACAATCCCTTGCTTGCTACTGAGTAAGTAAATCCAGTTTAGGCAGATTCCAGTAATGACTGCAAGGGAGGCAGGGCTCCAGCAGTTTGACATTCTGCCTTTCAGCAATCTTTAATGAGTTCAAAAACAAGAGGCAGGTCCTTTGCCACTACGAGTGCTGGGTCAGATCATCTGCCTTTTCTGGCCCAAGGAGATGGGCAGCGAACGACCTTTTCCCAGGGCAAGGGAGAGTCTTGGGGATTGTGACTGGGTGAATATCCTCACGTTCCTCAGTCACAGAATGCAGTGGTGTTCAATCTGCCTTTCAGACATGGCAGGTGGTAGCATTTGAGGTGGGCTTCGATCTAAGAATTGCCGCTCTATCCTTCATTGGGGAAACGGGGGCCTGACAGCATCACTTGCTTGTAATGGGCACTGTAAGTACCTTCCACTGGTGGGGAGGTATACAATAGCCACATCAGACCTGGTAGTTGCCACCTGAGTTGCATGTGAGAGGGAGACAAAGTGGGAGGACCAGTCACAGGGACAAATCACTACTGCTTTGAAGGAAAGGGAGGGGTCTGTGGCTGGAGGGTGGGTGTCCCAAGAAAAATGCCATTCAAAAAACAGGCTTCAAGTGAAACTAGGCCTTTATGTGGTACAAGCATATTCAGGGGCAGCCTTCATGAAAAATCAGTGAAGGACTGTAACATGGTATAATTGCATAGAGCTGGCATGGCCAAACTTGGCCCTCCAGCTGTTTTGAGACTACGATTCCCATCATCCCTGACCACTGGTCCTGTTAGCTAGGGATGATGGGAGTTGTAGTCCCAAAACAGCTGGAGGGCCAAGTTTGGCCATGCCTGGCATAGAGCTTTTATACACTTCTGTATTACACACGTGATTACTATTAACCAATCATATGACTGCAATAAATTTCCTATAACCCACTTTCATCACTCCAAACCAATTGGGAATCCTTTCGCTCCTTTGACTAGCCCTCCCAGCCTTCTCATTAAAATATGTAATTATGTATAGCTATTCTGCTCTGTCTTTCGTTATTAACCTTTGACTAATTATTCTGTTCGTTAGCTATCCTCCAGCATCCTCTTTTATTTATTTGTGATTAGTATTTTCATTCTTCTACTGACTTCAAGATTAAATTCAGTCAGTTGTTATACCTAGCCAACTTCCTTCAATCATTGCTTATGGTACTTGTCTTCAGAGATTAATGGTGCATTCTTTCAGTATACCAAGGTACAGGTATTTCACACTTCCAATCTAAAAATGGTGTTTGTGTGTGTGTGTGGTTTTTTTAAACTAGGCAGGGATAGTGAGATTTCATGGTTTTGCTAGGCCACAAGCTACCAGGAAAATGGAGTCTTGGCTACAAAAATGGATTCAAACAAAACAAGAAGATGCAGATTTCAAACAGGACAAGGAAATTTGAGTTTTCTGCTTCAGGGGAGATGGTGGGAGATGGGAAAGGGAGAAACCTGATCCCAGACTAGAGGTTGCTAGCTTCCCTTGTGGGTCACCTGAGGTCAAATGTAAATTCTAGCTTGTGGGACTAGTCTGGCAACCTTATTATGTCCAGTGCCTTTGCTTCCTGCTCTAAATTGTTGTATAATGCCATGCCATCTACATGCCCCATAAATTGTTACTGTCTACTTCATGACGCAAGAGTGAATATAAAGCACTCATTTTATGTTGGACAAATGTGAGGTGCCAGGTTACAGTGCCATCTTGGTATCTGAGTCTGTGTTCATATCTTGCAGTGTTTAAGGCTTGGTGCGTGTTTTTTCAAAACCAATGTATGGCTTCTAAACACAATTTTGAAAAGCTTTTCCAAGGTTGCCTTGAACTCTTCATTAGGTTACATTGTTTTTTTAAAAAAAGTTGAGGGATGGGGAGGCAGGAGAGTTGGCTAATGTTCAAAGCCATCTGTGTCTACGTCTGGCAAGTGTGGCCTTTCTTCCTAGGAGCGAAAAACACATAATAGCAGATGCCCCATCTCTGCAAGTACAAATAGCTTTTACAAAGTTCTGTCTCTTTCTCCTTAGGCCACTCACTGTATCACTGTGTGGCATTTTGGTTGGCGTAATAAAGGTATTGCCCTAATATGGCTTTCAGGTTTTTTCCTACAGCCAACATGACTTCCTTCTACTCTTTGTAGTAGAAAGGGTTAGTCTTTGGTCCTTCTAGTTGATGTAATCAGGAAGGGACAGCTTTGATTGGAGGTCCTGTGACTTTTTCAAATGCTTTATTACAACTATCTCAGTTATCCTAATAATACTGTGTGTTCTGTAACATTTTGTTGTCTTTTTGCAAGACTGGTCTACTAAAACATTTCCAGTGCTGGGATCCATTGTTTGAAATGTCCTGTGGGGCAGTCCCAATTGTCCTTGGCTCTCAGTGTATCAGTGTATGGACATTGAAAAACGTCCCTCAAAATTCCTGCGGCAGTTTGCCAAAGTAGGGAACCTCCAAATTTGCCTGGATGCTTTAGGTCATGGCTGTGGAACCCATGGCATCTCGAGATGATGGTGGACTCCAGCTCCCATCATTTCCAGAACATGGCCATTGACCAGTGATGATGGGAGTTGTAGTCCAGCAGCACTGGTGTGGTGGTGGTGGACAAGTTCTCCATCCTGACTTTAGGTCAGGCATCCCCAAACTCGGCCCTCCAGCTGTTTTGGGACTACAGCTCCCATCATCCCTGACCACTGGTCCTGTTAGCTAGGGATGGTCGGAGTTGTAGTCCCAAAACATCTGGAGGGCCAAGTTTGGGGATGCCTACTTTAGGTTCTGTGGCAACCACCACGATTACATTTCTTGAACCAAGATGAGAGAATGCTGAAGCTCTTGCTATAGCTTATGTTATAATGCCTTCTGAAAGGACCTCTCTTCTTTACATTTTCCATCTTCAGAAAGAGACAGATCATGTGGTGGTCACCAACCTGCAAGAAGGGACTTACATCTTCCAGCTGACTGTGACGGATACTTCTGGACAGAAGGGCTCTACCAACATCACCGTCACTGTGCTAAATGCTGAGCAGACTGTAGGTGGGTCATTGCTGGCTGTACCTTTCAAAGATAGAGTCTAGAACTGGAACCCTGGCTGATACTAGTCTTAGGGACACACTGGGGAACAGTGTCACATGCTGGGAGCTTCCAACTAGTAATATTGTAAAATCAGGGGAATAAGCTAAACCTAAACCTAACCAGTGCTTTCTAACCAGTGTTTTCTCTGATACTTACTGTGTGTGTTTCTTCTAGAGCACTGCTTGGCTCCTTATAAGGTGGGACGTTGCCGGGCTAGCTTTCCTCGCTGGTACTACAATCCAGAAACTCAGCAGTGTCAGGAATTCACCTTTGGGGGTTGCAAACCCAACAAGAACAATTACATACGAGAAGAAGAATGTAAACTTGCCTGCAAGAACGTCCAAGGTTGGTCTCCTTTGAGAAAATCCCTCCTTTCTGGATTTCAGAGATTCAAGTGAGAAAACATTTGTCATTTGATAGGTCCCACTGAGAATTAATTTTTGAAGGGGTGGAGGAAGAACCCGTATACCAAGTCTCAATGTGATGTGCTCAGGCTTTTTGAGGGGAGATTAAAAATCTCCATAAATTTGGAAGCAATAATTAGCCTGGGACTTGTTCCAACATCTTTAATGCTGAACTGATCATAAATTGTGGCAGTTCCTGCAAAGCATTTATTTTAAAGATTGATGAGGACTGGCTATTCTAGCCAAGCAACATGGGATTTTCCCCATCTCTCTAGTCAGAGCTCATCATCGCATGCGAGAAATTCATTCAGTTAAAAATTGAACATTGCTGGCATCCGTCTGTCTTGAGAGACAATGGAAGAGTGGGCCATTGGGGGGTAAAGTCAAACTGCTGGAGAGTTACAGTGCCTGCTATGGCTGTAGAGGCCAATAACAGAGAGTCGGTCTGCCAACAGGCCTGGTACCTGAAGCCAGCTCTCTGTAAATCACTTCCTTGGGGAAATTCACCTTCAATTTTGTGGTCAAACTGCCTGCAATCCTTTCAGGACATAACCTCGGAATGCTGAGTTTTGCAACACACAAGTCATGTTCTTTCCCATACTTCTGCCCCCTGGTATTGGCTGAATCTTAATAGCTTTAAATGCAGTGAGTTCACTGAGTCTCTGTAACCTGTGACTTTTTGTACTTTGCTAAAAGCTAGCTAGGTTTTGGAATCGGGAATGACTGACAGCTGTTTCACTAATTCTAGAAGGGTGTTGTTGGGAAACCACATTAAAAAAACTCTCTTTCTCCTGTGGCCCCTCCAACACAGTAGTGTAGCTGGAAATGAATTGTGTGCATGCCAGCATTTAAAAGGAGGGGAAATATAAGATAAAGCATTATTGTTTTGTCTGAATTTTTAGATGAGATCCAATGACTAGCATGTAATTTTCTGAAAAACAGCAATCTCTCCCCCTCCTAATCTCTCTTTCTTTCTCTCTAGGTGCTGTTGAAAAGCGAAATGAGCCAGGTAAGCATTTCAGTGGCCTGGTTTGTCCAGAACACTAAGCCAAGTCCGGGCTTAGGAGATGGCCCACATGTGCAGATTCCTAGAGTGGAACCTGCAGCCACTCTGCTCTTCCCTGGTGCTTTCTGTTGCCATGCTGTACTCAGCTGAGCCAAGGATTGGCTTAACATTCTGCCTGCAGGTGGGCTCGCAGTTAAGCAGAGGTGGATTTAGGGCAGCAGGACTGGTTCTGCCGCACTGGGTGCTGGGGCTAGGGGGCGCCACAGAGCGTCACAACTACGATGTCATAAATTGAGCAGAACGGAAGGCGAGAGACAAGCTGGGGGTGCTGAAATTAGACCTTGCGCAGGACGTCGCTGAAATTTGAAAAACCACAGTCTGTCCCTGAGTTAAGTTCTCTCCTCACTAACCATGAGCTGTGAGCAGTAACACACCTTGGTTACAGTTCATGGTTAGCGAGGAGAGAACTTGACCCCGAGCCCAGATTTTGACAATATGTTAAGCCAAACCGTGGCCCGGCACAGCACATTGCAACACTTTTGTGCTCTCTCCCTAAGCTAAGGTTTGGCTTTGCGGGTTCTGCCTGTATATCTGCATGACTCCACCCTTTCTCACTTTCTTGCTGACTTGAGCCTCAATGGCAAATACTGGTGACTGGTCTCTTGCCTCTGTGCTTGCCGTGTTGCAAAGAGGTAGCTTTCCTGGCATGGTGAAGCTCTTGTCTTTACTGCTCTCACTGGCACAATCTTTAGTCCTGGTCTGCCCTAAGGATGATTGATCTGAAGCAAATGTCCCCGTCCGGAAGGGGGCACTGTCTTTGCTGAGAACCAAAAGGTCTGGTTTATATTTCCCCTATAGTGTGCAATGAAAACTGCCTGCCCTACTCTTTCAAATGTGACGATGGCTGCTGTATTGACAGCTTCTTGGAATGTGATGAAACTGCAGATTGTTCAGATGGGTCAGACGAGAAGTTATGTGATTCGTGTAAGTAGGTGTTGCTGTGACGTCTTTGAAAATGGGCATAATCATACCACGCATGCAGAAGAATGCAGGCCTTGGCATCTCCAGGGAAATTATATCTGGAGTCAAAAGGCCAGAAACACTCTAGCTGTTTTCCTGGCACTTCCTCCCTTAGAGAGATACCTGCGGGTGGACCATGGCAGCTGGAAGCAGCCACCCTCTGATGGCAAACATGGTCCTTTTCTTTCCCCACCCCAGGAGAGGAAGTCATGTTCTGTTCTCATTTTTTGTGTTTGTACAATTTTGGGACAGACCACTGAAGCTGCTATCAAATCTACTATCTCTTCTGCTAGAACCGTTTCCACAAGTTCACAGAACTGAAGCTGGAAAGGGCAGGATGGTAGTCTTCTCTTTCCCTCTCTTTCACCACCAAAGATGGATCATACCTTATTTCATTTTAATCAGTCCAATACAGAAATCACAGTCCCCTCTGAAATCTAAAAATGCGTAAGGACTGCTTCACTTGTGCAAATCAGGCATTTCTCTCCCCTCCACACACTTTTACATGAACCCTCCTCTCTCTCTCTCTTATTGAGTCCAGGATCTTGTGTGGAGAAATGTAAGCAAACAGGGCTGAATAGAGGCACCATCAATATATTTCCACCTATTGCAATCGCCAGCATCATTGCCGACTACTGATTGTATCAGTGTATTGCCTTGTTCGTGCTGATGTTGTAGTGCAGGACTCTGTATTTGGATTGAGTGAGGAGAGATTTTATGATGAGCTAGTATGCATGTGTGTGCACGTGTGTGCACACTAGAAGCAGCCAGCTGGCATGTGTGAACTAGCTTTTAATGGCAATGTCCTGCATTTCCTTTTGCGAATGTTCCCGTTGCTCTTGTTTGTATTTCTGGTCAAAGTGTCCGTTGCAATTTCACAGGACTGCAAACTGTGGCTTATTGAGAACATGTTTTGCATTTGAAGGTGGGGGTGTTTTTATTTCTTATATTTTTTAGGTGATAAAGGGCAGCTAACAAATATAAGAATAATACCAGCTTTCATTGATTTTTTTATTTCCTGTTCATTAAATTGGGGAGGGGGACTAAAGGAAAATGTTGCCGTGTAGAGTACACTGTTTAGGATTCCAGCCATTCCATTTAGTTTTCCTGTGCTCCAGTTTTCTCTATTCTGCACATGTACACACCCCAACAATCAATCAGCAGTCTGTGGCCACGGAGAATACCCAGTCTTTATTGAATTGTTATTCTCTGTCATTCCATCTCTCTCTCTCTCTCTCTCTCTCTCTCTCTCTCTCTCTCACACACACACACACACACACACACACACTTTTTGTGTAGTGTTCTGTTTTGTTTAACAAAATGTCTTGCAAACCTTGGGTTTTTCCCTAAGCCTGCTGATACCTCCCTCTTGTGGGTAGTACTGTTTGGGCTACAGAAGCAACAGCACTCACAGTTGCTGTTGAAAAGTATGTGGGCAACGTCTACTAAAATCTCAGAAACCAGAGAGGAAATCTTCCAGCCAACAGGTTTAATACTTTAAAAATTGCTAGATACATTTTGCAAAATGAGAACATACAAATCTGTTCCATTTCCCAGAATTAGTTTTATTTCAGCTTTTCTTGCTTTTCAGTTAAATAAATGCAAAAATGTTATTGCGGTGTTTTGTTTTTAAAGTAGGCCATACATACAGGTCTACTTATTACTGTCTAGTACAGGGGTCAGCAGCCTTTTTCAGCCGTGGGCTGGTCCACCACCCCTCAGACCATGTGGTGGGCCTGACTATATTTTGAAAAATAGTAAAAATAATGAACGAATTCCTATGCCCCACAAATAACCCAGAGATGCATGTTAAATAAAAGCACACATTCTACTAATGTAAAAACACGTGGGCCGGATTGAGAAGGCGATTGGGCCGCATCCGGCCCCTGGGCCTTAGGTTGCCTACCCCTGGTCTGGTATGTCTAAAATTGATAACAGAAACAAATAAGGAGGTGAATGGGGAAGATCAGAGAACTACTAACAAAACAACAGGGATAAACTATTTAAATAAGAGGTCAGGGAGTTTCTGACTTTCATGCTGATTATTTGCACTGTCATCACACCGAAAGAACCATTATGTGAACTATCCCTTCCCCTTTTGTGTTTCTTCCAGATGTGCAAGGGTTCAATCGATTACGTAATATCAATGTTACCACCAGCCAAAGTAAGTATATCCTGAATGCCTGTGGAGTGGGATCTACTTTGGATGAATGTGCTAATAACAAATTTGATTACTTACATTTGCATCTCTCCAAGTGTAATTGAGGTTGGAAAGGGTGACTGTTCCAGAAGGACTGGAGATGGATTGCAGTTACCTTGCTCAAATTAAAAGAATAAACTGTACCAAAGGCTTTCCTGCAAAGGAACAGTAGCACTTCTCAGCTCCTTAGTATATGCAACATTTTGATGAACACTAAAGTTAGGCATTTTCAAGTAGTGTTCAAGTATTTTAAATGCATTAATTTTTATTCAAAGAACAAAAATATATCTTAATCTTCAACTGGTTTGAAAAACCAGCAAAAGTTGTATGGCACCTTAAAGAGTAACCAATTTCTTCTGGCATATAAAGTATGACCGCACCTATGTTTTGTCCAATGCTAGTTCTGCCCAGGGTAGACCCATTGAAATGAATGGGCATGACTAATTTAGGCTCATTAATTTCAATAGGTCTAACACTGAGCAGGACTTAGTTGACTACAACTCTTGGTTACTGTGAAACAATGAAACTTTTGCAAAAATGTAATTGAAACTTTTAACAATGTGAGGTAAGGATTCCATAAATGTGAATCATTCACTGAATGAGTTCATTTTGTTTTTTATCCTCAAATACCTGGGCCAGCCTTGCCCAACCTAGTGCCCTTCAGATACAGTTACATTACTGCAACACACATTGGCCCCAGCTAGCGTGGCCAACTGTCAGCCATGATGAGATTGAAGCTTAATATCTGGAGGGGGTCAGGCTAAGGAAAACTGGACTACAGTTGCCAAAAATGTTAGAACAGAAATAAAGTGAAGCAACAAGTGGTTATGGGGAAAGTCAGTTTTTGAAGGCAGTTGTGCTAAGAAAGCAGTAGGCCAATTTAAATAATTTTTATCAGATGATCAGGTATTAACTAATGTCCTGATACAAAACCATTTCAATAATATTTTTTTGGCAGGTCACTGTGTGGATATGCCAGATACTGGGAGATGTGACGATAGCATACCTCGCTGGTATTACAACCCGTTTGCTCAGAAATGCCGTCGCTTCACCTATGGAGGCTGTGAAGGCAACAAGAATAATTTTGAGGAGGAGGAAGTGTGTATGAAATCTTGCGAAGGTGTCACAAGTAAGTAGAAAAAGGACCTAAAGAGGTGGGCAGGAGATGTGGGGCATCTTTTCCTTAGTAAATGTTTTTTGAGTAAATTTTTGGCACCATGCAGACCAAAGGTCAGCAGAATATGGAGTCACAGACCCTTCTCCTGTTGTGTCTGTTCTAGCATTAAAGGTTTTAAGAGATTGGTGTTTAGCAGCCAGAGGCTGACATATTTATACCTCTCAGTACTAGATGGTGGGAACTAACAAATAATGGTGCTTATCATGACCTGCTTCTGAACTTCTCTGTGGCATCTATCTGGTTGTTATTAAAAGACAGAATGCTTAAATGCTCTTGATTTGACCCAAGCAAGGCCAGTGGTTCATCTAGCTCAGGCATAGGCGAACTCGGCCCTCCAGATGTTTTGGGACTACAACTCCCATCATCCCTGACCACTGGTCTGGTTAGCTAGGGATGATGGGAGTTGTAGTCCCAAAACATCTGGAGAGCTGAGTTCGCCTATGCCTGATCTAGCTCAGTAATAGACTGCTGGCTGACAGCAACTGCTGATTCTGGTCCCTGGAAGAACCTGGTTTGTGACTGGCCTCCCAATCGTGGCTTGGTAGGAAGCATTTAACCCCGATCCCTTGTTCAGGTGTAACAGAAAGCCAGCTTCCTAGTTTGTTTATTCCACTTGCACCAGGGGATAAGCAAAGCGGGAGCAATCAGCCACTTCTTCCTGTGATCTTTGGATAAAGGGCAGTATACAAATTTAATAAACAATAAAATAAAATAAATATACCACAATAAGCCATAAAGTCCGGCTTATTGCATGATCATTGCCTGTGAGTATCCTTGCATCCCCGAAAGAACTGTTGGCCTCATAAACCTTTTTCATTGTCACCATCTTCTTTTACCTCCCACACTCCTTTCTTTTTCTTTCTGGTTTCTGGTTTCTTTTTTAATTGTTAATCCAGCTGTTGGAAAGCAGAGAAAGGCGGTATATAAATCTAAGAAGTAAAATAAAAATAATAAATGAACATATGATTGAACTGTTGGGGTGAAAATATGATATGACTTAAAGGGAAAGTTTTGGGAGAGTTTTAATATTAAAAGTGCACTGTATGAAACTGCCTCAAGGAAGGAGCATCTGCCATTATTCCAAGCATCATTATACAACCCTGTCTTTCTCTCCTCCACAGAGGAAGATCTGATTGGCCAGAGATGGAGCACCTATGAGGCCCGGCAGGCAGGTTTAAGTATGTAAACTGAACTCTACAATGCTCTAGTAGCACACTTATTTCTTTGCTCCTCAGTCTCTGCTGTCTGTCTCTTTTGCTTCGGCTGTAAGCTGCCATGTATTTTAGAAAATATGATAACTGGGAGGAGGCATGGGAAGAATCCTGATACTTCTGTACAAAGAAAGTGATGACGCGTAACTTGTTGCCTTTAGAAACATGTCATCATCACTTATGTGTGTTACATACCGTATTTTTTGCTCTATAAGACTCACTTTTTCCCTCCTAAAAAGTAAGGGGAAATATGTGTGCGTCTTATGGAGCGAATGCAGGCTGTGCAGCTATCCCAGAAGCCAGAACAGCAAGAGGCTGCACAGCGATCCCACTTGCTGTTCTGGCTTCTGAGATTCAGAATCTTTTTTTTCTTGTTTTCCTCCTCCAAAAACTAGGTGCGTCTTATGGTCTGGTGCGTCTTATAGAGCGAAAAATATGGTATTCATCCACTGCATTGTTTCTTAAAAGTAATTTATGTTTTTAGTTAGCAAAAAGTATATGCCACTTACTCAATAAAAGACCTAGGCGGCCGACAATTAGTCACACAGCTTATGACTACAAATCACAACAGTGAAATTTAAAACCAAAGGTTTTTCAAGCGAGTGCTCTAGAAATAACATGTTGAGTTCAATGGGATTGATCTGTTGTAAGTATGTATAGGATTGTAGCCTTAGGCTGCAAGTCTGCACACACTTACCATATTTTTCCATGTATGAGACAACATTTTTTTCCTTAGAAGTAATAGGCAAAAATTGTGTGTTGTCTTATACACGGATAGCAGAGGTGGGACGGGCAGTTGGTGGCAGCAGCCAGCAGGAGATTGGCAGTGGTGATTGGGTGTGTGATTGGTTGCTATGGCAGTTGGGCGGGTTATTTACAATAGCGGTGAGGCGTGGTTGCTCCCCCCCCAAAAAAAAGCTTAACAACTCTGGGCAATCTCCCCCCAAATTTTTTTGTTGCGGTCCAGAAAAATAGGGGTCGTCTTATACATGGGGGCATGTTATACACAGAAAAAGATGGTACCTTGGGATTCTGCGCCTCCGGGTATCTGCATGTTACATACCTTGATGAGGGAATCGCACCATGGAGTACAGTGGTACCTCGGGTTAAGTACTTAATTCGTTCCGGAAGTCCGTTCTTAACCTGAAACTGTTCTTAACCTGAGGTACCACTTTAGCTAATGGGGCCTTCTGCTGCTGCCGTGCCGCCAGAGCATGATTTCTGTTCTCATCCTGAGGCAAAGTTCTTAACCTGAGGTAATAAATCTGGGTTCTCAGAGTCTGTAACCTGAAGCATATGTAACCTGAGGTACCACTGTACTTCTGTCAGGAAGTCCTTGTTGCAGAGGGCTCTGGGAAGAGACCCATGATCACCTTTTGCTTATTGTTTTTGAGATGGCTAGGCACCCCACGTTAAAAGTGCATCTTGCATCTCAAGATCAGTGCCTTCAGCCTAGGACACCTACCCAAGTCAGAAGCGGTTCACTGGATGAACCCCGCAAAAAGAGGACAGGTGCCATTTTGAGTGTGGAAAGGCAAGCAGCAAAATAACCAGGGGTGCCTCAAATCCTGGGCTGCTCCAGCCTTTACTGTAAATACGTTAACAGCACCTCCTTCTTAACGCTTGTTAAGGCCCAAATAGCAGCTTTGGTTAACCCTGATTCTCCCCCCCCCCCTCAAATCTCTCACAGGTTCTTTCGAAACGGCCATTGCAGTGCTCCTGGCTGTATGCATAATGATAGTGTTGGCAATCCTTGGCTACTTTTTCCTGAAGAACAGAAAGACGTACCGGCGACGGCGCCAGCCAGCTACTGCCGCCAACTCCACTCTCTCCTCTGTGCTATCCACCACCGAGGACACGGAGCACCTCGTCTACAACAGTACTACGAAGCCTATTTGATCCGGAAGAGCTGCCCTCCTCTTCTGGGAGTGGGACAGTTGCCTTGACTGATGATACTTCTGAAACAAAAGCCTGTGGCTGAAGGATGTCCCTCTTCCTCCACGCTTCCTTCCTTAGACTGTCAAATTCCAGCCACCTTACTGCCCCTAGAGATTGTTCTGACTATGTGACAGCTTCTGAGGAAGAGGAAGTACAGTATCCCCCCCACTTTTGTAATGACAACAGTGGCTCACTATGCTGTCAGAGGAAGCTGTCACTGAGGGCTTACTGTACCTATTGAAGGAGTCGTGGTTTGATTTTTGGTATGGATTTCATCCCTTCACAAACCTGCTCAAATCTACATTTCGTGTGTGTGTGTGTGTGTGTGTGTGTGTGTGTGTACTTCTGCCTAGTTCCTTTTTGTTTCTCTTGAAAGTCCTGCCATCTTAGAGCCACCCTCTCTGTGCTAAGGGTCTAAGTAGTTCAAACCTCGTGATACTTCTGAGAGTCCTGAGCAGGTTCTCATACTTGATCATTGTGAACTCAGGGTTGCACATGGCGGTCTTTCTAGCAAGATGATATCAAAAAGAAGCTTGATACACCACTGGAGTGAATCTGGCCTCTTTCCAAATATATTGCAGCCCTTGTTGCATGTTAATCGCTAGGCAAGATGCAGTGCACGTAACATAAAATATATAGTATGACCATAAGTTTTAAACGTAATTTGAACATATTAAGAAGTGCGGCTGAATTGTTCCTAAATGACTGAAAATCAGGGTCTGCATTCATTCTCCTTGACATTTTCCCGCCTGTTCCTACCTCCCAAGGTTGCCATTTCTGCTTTTAATGTTAAACGACTAGTTCTTGAGTTTGAATATTGCACCTGTATGTATTTATTTTTATAGAATCAAAATGTGACTAGAAAGATGTTAACTAGCTGGTCTCCCAGGTACATAGTGAATCTTGTGGAGCAGTAACTATTCCCCTGCCCTCATGGCCCCAATTATAGGGAATTCCAATTGTTTATTTGCAAGCTAGTACCACGTACTGATTTCCCATTACATGCTTTCACAAGAGCTTCAGAAGGAGCCCTGTGGAAGCTGGAAGACACTGGTTTTTGGTGGACTACAGTAATATATATAGAGGGAGAGAGAGAAGCAGCTTCTGCCCCAAAGTGAACAGAAATGAACTGGGTGAATGAAGGACATGTATGTTCCGGTTTCTCATTTATCACCTGTCTTAGCTGTCAAAGCATATAATTTATAAATCCAATTGCAATTTACTGTTTTGAAGTTGCTGATGACAAGGCAAGCTATTGTCCTTTTGCTGCTGTTCATCATTGTTCAGTATAACAGATTTTTTTTACACCCCCCCCCCGCTCCATTCTGATGTAGGAGTTGGGATTCCAGCAACATTCAGAGGGCACCATGTTGGCTACCCCTCATTTGTCCTGAGTATTGAATTGATTGTGGTTGTCGACGCTTGAACAAGATCCATCCTCCATGCGTTTCCCTACATTTTTGCAATGCCCTCCTCAGTATCATGAACCATGGTGTTGTTCTCCCTACCCTCCATATAACAGCTGCTTGTGTGTAGGCATGCCATGTGAATGGGACCTCTGTGGGGGCCACACTACTCCCCCATGCATACATTCCCCTAGGTATGGAGGATGCTTGTGAAAAGGATTCATGTGATAGGGGTAAGCTGTATGGTGAGCCTAGAGCAGCTATCATTGAGAGTTTCCATGTGACTCCCAGACACTTTCAGGCACAGAAGCCCTCGCAAATGTTTGGGTTAAGTAGATGGGCCCATTCTAGCTAATCAGCCAACTCCCATTTTCGCCCTACTAAGAATCCAACCAAACGTTGCTTTAAGAACCAGGACAAAATACCCTCTCTGTGTGGTGGGTAGGTGGGCTGCTGTCTGAGATGAATTTGGTACAGTTCTGTACTGGGAATGCAAATGTATATAGCTCTGTCTGCTGCTTTGGAAATGCCCTCTGCTGTGAAGTTGAGAGAGCGAGCAGAGAATATTTGTGTCTTCTTTTTGTGGTGTTAATGAGGGTGTGTGTGTGTGTGTGTGTGTGTGTGTGTGTGTGTAGAAGGACTTTTTGCACCAGCAAAAAGAATTCTCTGAGAGAAGGGAACAGCTCTTTCCAAGAGCCAGATTTTGTTAATGCTCAGTGAAGTGGCAGAATGAGAAGATGATGGTGAGGGTCACCAATGTGCCGTGAAGGAATGGGACAGGAGATAATTTATTATTTTCTGTGGTTGGCAGGTTACTCCACCTTTTTAAAATATATTTTATATCTGCTAGTTCTGCCCTCCTTCCATCTGCTCCCTCCCCCCTTGTTCCCTTTCTGCAAACCTCTGCTTCCTGAGCCCTTAAATTCTGGATTTCTCTCCCTCAGTAGATGTAAATTTTAATAAAATATTTTGTTTGTAGCAACTTACTTGCTTGGAAAGTTATTTTGTTGTGGTTGACTTGTGAAGGACTCAGGAGTCGCTGTTGTCAAAATGCTTCAGGGAAAGGAAGAGGCAGTCAGACATTTCATAAGACAGCAGCAACTTTGTTAGTCACGATAATGGTAGATCCAGCCCAGCTCTTCAGCCAGGTAGCAAGTAGGTCAGAGGGTTGCTGCTGTGAGGTCACTTCCTGCATGTTAGGACCCAAAACTGACTGAGGAAAAAGGTGTCACCTCAAACTGGGCCTTCAACCAGTCAGACTAGTTTGGAATAAGGAGAAAATGCAACCGGGCAGGATCTTGCTTGCTCAAATACGTCTCCTTGTAACCTATGGCTATGGGGTGGTTTATGAGTGACTGGTCTTTGTTAAAGCCAAGGCAGCAGACAAGTCAATATATAAAACATAATTTTTAAACAATCATCAATCACGGCACTCGGCCCAGTAAAATAATAAAATCACAAAAATAAAGGTAAAACGACACCAAAGCTGCAACACCCTGATTATCATGAGAACATAGCAGGTACACATTAAAAGTGCATCGACAGAAGTCTAGTGTCCTGATCAAGGGGTGAGCTTAACCGCTTGACTCAGTTTCTGCAGCCCTTTTATACACAAGAGTTACTTGCCAAATCTGCCCAGTAACAGATAGGAGAGAGACAAAATGCCTTTATTGTAGGGAATGAGTCACTTCTGCTGACTGATGGAGAATTAACCCATTAACTACATTCCTTAACTTAGTTGGCTGACTGTTTTGAAGCCTGACTGATCCTGTGGAGCTATCTCTGCAGTTGATCATGGTTTCTTGATTCCAAGGGACTAACATGACTAAGATTGTCAGATTATATTGCCAACACAAGTACATAAGGGCCCTGCTACATAAGTTCAAATGCATTTCCGAGCACAATTCAAAGTGTTGGTGTTGACCTTTAAAGCCCTAAATGGCCTCGGTCCAGTATACCTGAAGGAGCGTCTCCACCCCCATCGTTTAGCCCGGACACTGAGGTCCAGCGCTGAGGGCCGCCTTCTGGTTCCCTCACTGCGAGAAGCAAAGCTACAGGGAACCAGGCAGAGGGCCTTCTCGGTAGTGGTGCCCTCCATGTGGAATGCCCCCCCATCAGATATCAAGGAGATGAAGAAATATACAACTTTTAGAAGATATCTGAAGGCAGCCTTGTTTTGGGAAGTTTTTAATGTTTGATGTTTTATTATGTTTTAATATATGCTGCAAGCCGCCCAGATTGGCTGGGGAAACCCAGCCAGATGGGTGGGGTATAAATAATAAAATTATTATTATCTAGTCCAGTTTTCTTTTCTCACACTGGGCAACCAGATGTCTATAGGAAGCCCATAAGTGCAATGTGAACACAATATGACTCTCCCACTTGTGCTTTTCATCAAGTGATATGCAGAGGCATATTGTCCTGTACTTCTAGTGGCACCTTCAGGAGGAAGCAAAGGAGGAGGACGTATTTTCCTCTTTCCTGCTTGGAGTTGTATTTGTCTCATCCCAAACTATTGTGTGCTCAAGTTTTAGGCTGGTAGCATAGCACAGCAGGATAAAGCCAGGAGTGAATATGTTCTGTGTCCTCTTCACACATCCCTTTTAGACCTGAACTACATTACAAGGGAAGGGATGCGGGTGGTGCTGTGGGTTAAACCACAGAGCCTAGGACTTGCTGATCAGAAGGTCGGCGGTTCGAATCCCCGCAACGGGGTGAGCTCCCATTGCTTGGTCCCTGCTCCTGCCAACCTAGCAGTTCGAAAGCACGTCAAAGTGCAAGTAGATAAATAGGTACCGCTCTGGTGGGAAGGTAAATGGCGTTTCCGTGCGCTGCTCTGGTTTGCCAGAAGCGGCTTAGTCATGCTGGCCACATGACCCGGAAGCTGTACACCGGCTCCCTCGGCCAATAAGACGAGATGAGTGCCGCAACCCCAGAGTCGGCCAAGACTGGACCTAATGGTCAGGGGTCCCTTTACCTTTTTACATTACAAGGGTCCTGTGCATGGCTCCTTGGCACTACGGTCTGTTCCCCTTTTAAGACACTCTGAATTATTGGGAACAAGAAGTATAATGGCTTAGTGGTAGAGCACAATGCTATGCATGCAAAAGGTGTTAGGCTTAATGCCCATCATCTTCTCTTGGGGTCTGGAGAGACCCATTTGAAACCAGGGAAAACTGCTGCCAGGCAGTATAAAAGGCAGCCTCCTATGTTCCTAAATCACTGGTGCATTTGCAACAAGCCTCGCGCATGGTGCAATATGGATTTTGTTTTTGCTGCCGTGCCATGATTCTCAATCTACCTATCTACAAAGTAGCTGCCTTATTACAAAAGAATTTCAGAAATAGACTGGAAAGAGAAGTTGCTGAATTGCAACTTATTACCAAACTTAAAAACATGGAGAGACCTGGTCTGAATAGAGACATTGGATTCTTATCTCATGATACATGATAAAGCTATTTTTAGCCATCTCACCCCTTGCTTTCTTCTGTAAGACCAATTGCAGTCGTTAACAGTCATCAACAGGTTTACCACACCTATCAGCCAAACACCCATTCCCACCACCCTTCTAAGTAATATCCCTCCCCACCCTCTCACTATATATAAAGGTCTGGTGACTTCTGTTTCACTGTATCTGAAGAAGTGTGCATGCACACGAAAGCTCATACCAATAACTAACTTAGTTGATCTCTAAGGTGCTACTGGAAGGAATTATTTTATTTTATTTTATTTTATTTTATTTTATTTTATTTTATTTTATTTTATTTTATTTTATTTTATTTTGTTTTGTTTTACCTATCTACCTGTTTCAGGCTATTTGGAGCAACCCTAAAAACTAGCACCTCTCTCAAGAAATAAGATATGCTGCAACAGTGCGTCGCAGGTCCCACTTATTAGACGTAATTGTCAGCCTTGTCAAGGAACTGAAGTTCTTGAATGGACCACATGGTGGCACTAGTGCGCTTTGGCTGCATATATATGTATATATTTTTGAAAACAAATGTAGAGTCTCGTAGCGCCTGAAAGACTAAACAAATTTATTGTGACATAAGCAACCATGGACCAGAATCCATTGCATAATATGCTGCATCATCATTGGGTGATTCTTTGTCTGTTCTTCAACAAATACAGTGAACCCTCTGGAAGTTATTAGCTTAAATTAGACAACAGCAGTTGCTCTGTTATTTTCTCTTCCAAGTATTCTCTCTGCTTGAATCAGGGATTCCGGTGCAGATCTATGCATCTCCTACATGCTTCAGAGATAGGCAGTTTGTTTTTTTAAAAAGATAAAAAGCATGGCATATATGCAGTTTGGTTTTTTTTCCCTAAAAAATCTTTTAGGGGTACTCTCATTTTCCTACTCATATTGAAGTACTGCCCCTCAATGAGGCCAAACTTAGATTCACAAAAGAAAAAAGCACCTCATATATGTGTGTTCAATTAAATGGCCGTGTGTGTGTAATCAGGGCTGTTTCCCTGCCCCCACCTTGCCACAACGTCATTTCAATGGCTGCCACATAGACCAAAATCCTGCCAGTCTGAATATCCTAGTTAACTGGGTGGCCTGGATAGATCCCTTTGCTGAGTCCATGGTGAGACACTTCAGCAGCCCCAATGCCACCCGTCACATGCTAGGAGAATCCTAAGAACTGTAATTCATCAAGCATACTGCAAATTATAGCTCTGTAAGGGGTCACTTCCCTTAACAAACATTCTCCACAAACTGGTGTAATAGTGCTTTAAATAGTGCTCCAAATAGTGCAGGTGTGCTGTTGTCAAGTGAACATTCCAGCCAGGAAAAGGGTTTGGAGCAGGAGCAGCAAGGGGGGGGGCTCGAGAGAGACAGGGCCAGGCAAGGAGACCTGGTGGTCTGCATTCAATCCCCAGGCCTGGGGTTCCTCATCCCTGGCCTAAAGTATCTCACAGGGTTCTTGGGATGATAAAATGGGCCGAACCTTAGGTGGCTAGATAAGGTGACATGGAAATCAATGAATCCCAATTTTCACACAAATACTTTGAAAGTGACTTAGTATAAGCCTATTGTACAATGAAAGGTTTCCACAGCATCATAGAGTTGGAAGGGATTCCAAAGGCCATCTAGCCCAGCCCCCTGTCAAAGCCGCAACATTCTTGATTGGTGAACATCCAGCTTCTGCTTAAAAATAATGGGGGCATGATCTAAGGCTTTTGTCTACTTTAAGGGCTTTCCTCCTTAATTTCAGCCTTCAGTTCCTAAGGGGACATAGTTTCACACTCTGAATCTCAGTTAAAGTTGCTATAATAATATTTTTGAATATTTTGATCTGACCACTTTAGTTCCTAACAGCGGAAAAAACCACAGTATTCGTAACCCACTTCCTGAATTAGCTCCCAGTTCCACTGTTGTGGTTTTGGGGCTTTGCTTGCAATAGGCAGGCTCAGTGATAAGTTATCTGCTTTGCATGGAGGAGGTACCAAGTTCAATCCTGGGAATCTTCAAGTAAGGTTGCGCTAGAACAGGCATAGGCAAACTCGGCTCTCCAGCTGTTTTGGGACTACAACTCCCATCATCCCCAGCTAACAGGACCAGTGGTCAGGGATGATGGGAATTGTAGTCCCAAAACGTCTGGCGGGCCAAGTTTGCCTATGCCTGAGCTAGAACTCTGCCCCAAACCCCAAAGAGCCACTTCCAGTCAGACAGTACTGAGCTAGATGGCCAATGCTCTGACTTACAGCCCCTCCAGATCACCTATTTTTTGAGCATTTATCTTGATTTGCTTACACAGATATTGCACGAAGGTTAGATTTCATCCAGATTTTACTGAGCATCTGTTCTGATTTGTTTGCAAGGAGGTTATCCAACAAGGAACATTCATCCTGATTTGCTTGCAGAGTGTTTGCAAGTCTTCCTGTTAGTTATTCATTCATGCCACAGTTTTCAGTGCATTTCCCGGACACTTTCCAACCTGCAAAGTGTATTGTTGCTTCTTTAAAGCAAATTTGCTC